ATATTATAATATTATATATTATATCTATTATATACACAAAAATACTAAGTATAAAATATAATTGTATTGGCAATTGTACAGAATTCTAGTAATGCTCAGGATTCACTTAGACAAAGATCAACAACGCCAGATCAAGAATGATAACTTTGAAACACAATTAATGTTTGATGAAAATTGTAAAGTTAATTAATAACATCGTTTCATCTAATTGATTACCTAGTATTTAATAACAATATGTTATGGTTATTCGTACGGATAAATAACGATAGATACTTGCAATTTTGACCAAATATTTATGTTAGCATTTTATATATAAAGTATAATTTAAAAAATATTTGGATACTTTTTAAGATATTTATAGAGATTTGACGTTTTAATTTTTTCTAAGTTTTTTTTTTCTTTAAGTATTGATGAAAAATGTTAATAAATAAATAATCAATATATCATACAAGTATATAGGTATTTGGTAATGTACAGTGTACAGTGTACATTGAGAAAACGCTTTTGCTCGGTTTATCATTTAATTCAAACTTAACACATACATTACAGTGACTTATTAAATGATGATGGTACACTTGACAGCTACTGCACAGCTGAGCAGAGTGGTTATATGTATTTATTAGATGTATTGTATAACTACTTTTCACCTTTTTTTGTATTTGTTGACAAGTTACCATTAAATTGTTTTAATTGCCAATAAAAGTCTTAAAACGTCCTATACAATTAGATTTTAATATAACGATGACACAAAAATGATATCAATAACTTGGATAACTATAAGTAGCTTGAGCTAATGACCTTAGCTACTCCTAATAACAATGAGTGTTACTATGTTAGTAGGTAACGACTCTTGATGTAAACTGTTCGCTCTTTATTCATTCCTCTTGACTAATTAATAACAGGAAAATTTAATTGAGAAAAATCATAAAATTACTATGAATAATAACAATGTCTTTAAAGATATATTTTAAAGACAAAATAAAACAAAGTTGTTTAAAAAGCCCTCTCTCGTGGTCGTTTAATTAGTGGTAAAATATATTTCATAAAATGATCGATTGGAAATGGAAATGAAAAGTTTTTAAATTTTACAATACCTATATATTTTTGTTTTTTTATCTAGTGTTTCCCGCAATGTACAATACAAATACGAAAAAAATGTGTGACCCTTGGGAGTGATCACACTACTTCATATACTTTTATATTTTATTATAATTTTTTTATAATTTGTTCTATATTATACCGTATTTATATTATGTAAACGAAATTGAACCAAATACATACTTCAACGCTGATCAAAAAAGTACAACTAGTAAGCTCAGCAGCATCTATGCCCTGATGTTTTTATTAATAAATTATATAAATGTTTCACTTAAATATACATCGTTAGCCGTGAGATGGAGTGATAGGTAGCTAAAGCTGAAGTAAATCAGACTATTATATTATAATATTTTTTACTTTATTCATTGTCTACTCGAACTGGCTCATTACGTTTGTTGGTGGTATCGTATTTGTGACGTGACATGCAAGTTCGTTTAACTATTATTATTTTATTTTTTTTATTGAATAGGTATAGAATTTGAATTTGAAAAACTGTAATCTGTAAATCTGTAGATCATATATATATATATATATATCCAATAATGAATCATTATTAGCTGCATTTAAATTTATGCGAACACTTCACAAATCCGTCCCTACAACAATAAAATATTAAAATATAAATGTACACAATATAGACAACAATAATTAAGATTCACTCTGGTCTAATGTATTTGTTATCGTACAAAACACACAGTTCTATATTATGAGTTAAACAATTTATTATATTTAACAATTTAAAGTACTCAAATATAGAAATCCATTAGTTATTATTTAACAATAAATTTTACATAATTTTTAATTATAAATATTGATCTTATACTCCGAAAAGGATAACATATAAGTGCGGTGGGTGTTTGTGATACCTGACGTATTCACAAGTCACAACTGAAGTCTGAAATATCTTATATAATGCTTAAGACAAATCTGTACTGTGTGGCCGTTGAATGGTCCTACTGTTGGTGTAGAATTTGTTAGCAAATGCTTAGAGTTGAAACCAAATCCGACACAGTTCTTGATTTGTGTTTCATAAACGCATGAGAACGCTGCTCTTGATGTGAATGAAGTCATCAATGTAGTTTTATGTGACACAGTTATTATTATTGGTTGTATATTTTCTCTATGCTTCCTATGCTGTCTTGTTTTTATCAGGACATCTACAGTAATATTGTAATCATAATAATATCAGGAAATATTCTGAGGAGACTTAAATTAGCTTCTACAACAAGACAGTATTAAATGTAAAAAATATGACGGCGTGCAGTGACTAACGACGGCGTGGCGTCACGGCGACACGGCATAATATAATATTGTCGAGGGCCCAGTTTCAATAAATAAAATAGCGCCTTTAAAACGCGGCTTATTCTCCCCCCTCTCCGTTCACAAGCGATAACGTTACGATTGAAACTGTCATGCTGCAGTTTTTCACTGAATCGGCAACCGTCGTCCAAATTGCTGAAATGATAATATTTCCATCGAAATAACTATTTATAGGTTGTAGATCTTGTGCCTTCAATGACAATCGAACAAAGATAAACAAAGAAAACGATATAATATATTTTCCATAACTTCTATACATTTTTATTTTTAATTAATTATTCTTTATAAGTAGCATTGTACCTGGTTTTTTTTGTAAGTGGAACTCAGTTTCAGAGTATCCCCTTTCGAGCAGCCCCCGAATAAGACAAGTGTAGGTATAAAATAAAACACATTTTATCATTCTTGCATACCAAAGTGAAACTTCCGTACAACTGAGTATCATGGGCAACAAAAACAAATTCATATCATAGAGAAATTCATTAAATATAATTAAATACATTTTTATGTAATTTGAGTTGGTTTACAAAAACATTTCGTTAAACAGAACATTTTGTTTATGGAAGTTCGTTGTATGGATATTTGAATGTATTATGTTCTATAATAATATAGTAAACTAGCAGTCACAGCAATGCATTGCTATTGCTAGGTTTTTGTGATTATACGAGCAGTATATTATTATCAGGTAGGAAATCTACCTACGGTATATCGCGGACCCCACGTGGTGATTAAGTAGGTAAGTGTATAAGTTAACTCTAAAGTATCAAAAAATGCAAAAATTGGTCCACCAAAACCGTGGTTTGAACTCGATACATTCTGTACTAAAATACACGGGATTTTCGAATTAATAATAACAATTATTATTATTATTATTATAACTAAATAAACCAGTAGCAACCATTTATAAACAAAAAATAATTATATTTATAATTATCTGAAGATCCCTGTTTGAGAACTTCCCCGGATTGGACCTCTTATTTACCAAATTTTATCGCAATCGGATGAAATGTTTAGTAATACATAAAGGACACAGTCAGTCAATCTCAAACATTTGTTGCCTTTTATGTATATAGATCATTTCAATTGTTAATTTGGAAAATGCCATAATATTATGATGATATTATACGCCTATCGTAATAAATACAAACCACACAGTAAATTGTAGTGGTCTTACAGTTAAAGGTAAATAATGATATTTCCGATCTACAGTGTAATATTTTAAACGGTCTGACATAAACGAGGGTATTCTGTAGATTTTCAAAGTTGTAAGAGGTCAGTTTGACAAAATCTTTAGATCTCAATTGAACTCTAGACCTGCGTAGTGTGTATGTAAAGATGAAATGGATTATAATGTCTATTCGCATGCATGAACGTATCGTGGATAATTATATGTGTCTGTGAAGTGAATATTGTTTGTATAATGATAACGTATTATAACGTCCACGGACTAAGATAAAATGGACTGGAAACGACAAGGTGGGCGGGGGACGGGGGACGGCCCGCAAAAGGTTCCTCTGTTATCATCAACAGTCATAATCGAATATTTTCAGCGCTACCAGTGGTTTTATTTAGTATCTCAGTCCGTGTTTTATACAGATGGCGCTGTAAACTCTCGATTATGGTTGCGACCCCCCGCATTTGCTTCTTGTACATACTTTCGAGGCCACTGATAAGCTGCTCGTTTCCATTCCATTTATATCTTAGTCAATGATAACGTCTTATAGTGAGGCACGGACGTTTGATTCCAAAAATTAGGGATAAGAAGCAGACATATAAATCAGATTATAAAAAATCCTGTTTAGAATGTATGTTTCCCGTTGGCTTTGTGAAGAATTTAATATTCGAGTAGAATTGTTCGATAAGTAAACATCATAACGATAAATAATAGAGATTCGAATATTGTAATATATAAACGCATATTACCTACGAGAATTAAAACGTGTTTATGGTTATTAAGGAACTCCAGAAAATATGTACTATGTTTATCTCACCAATACTTTTATCCTTAAATAAAATACTGAAAAAATGTATAAAAAAATTAATTCTTCGTCAAGAATTTTGAGGCAAGTATTTAAAATAAGTGATATTGGTTTAAAAACTTGACGGTTTAATACAAAATATTCAGACTACTCACATGGTGATTACAAATTAATTAATAAGAACTGTGAAATTGATTTATACGTTTTATATTAGCTACATAAATTATACTTAACACGGATACCATTTTAATTTTATGTTTTGTTAATTGATGTCATATTGCTTGGGATCCATGGGTTGCTAAATTTAAAATTAAATTACACAGTGTCATGTAAATAGATTTATGAAGTAAGATGAGTGCCAAATGTTACAGAATACGTGTTCATATATTATAATGTATTTTTCCTCTATTTTTCTCTGCAACACTTTATAGTTGTATACTTGTATCCCTTAAAAATTTAACTTTAAATATCGAAACGATTAATTTATAGGAGAAGTTTGAACATTCCTTCCATTAAAATAAATTGTAGTTTATACTCACTTTATAAAAAAAATTGTTAATTTAAATATAGGTACATACCTAAAATAATGATATTTTTAATTTACAGAAAATTTGGTATCAAAGAGTTTGGCCGTTTTTGCAACACGAAATGTTAAAACCAGACGTATCAGCAGCAGTCCTACATCCAGTAATATTCTTAATACAAGAGTCCACTCTTGAGGACTACGAAACACTCATGTTACCTGCTATGAGGTACCTATTAAATTAATAACTGTTATAGTTCAGTTATATATATATATATATTTTTTAATTTACCAATTATTCTCAGCAAAATATTCAATGGTCCAAAACATGTTCCTGTGCAAGTGATACTACTGGAAAACTTGCATGTGATATTAGAAAAAACGCCAAGAGACGACATCAGAAAAGAAGTACTCCCTTTATTGTACACAGCATTTGACTTTTCAGACATAGAAGTACAGGTGAGTCGTAATTATTGTGGTTATTTTAATAACCCTGGTTGTTACTTGAATTAATGCACAGGGTATTTAATATTATTATTTAAACACTATTTCAATAAACGCTTAACAAATTAATTAAATATTCAAAAAAAATTTAATTAATTATAATATTATGGTAAAGCTAAGGATAAAAATAAAATTATTTTAACCCATGTGGTTATTTGTTTATGTATTAATTGTTTATACTGAGAGGTTTTTGTTTCACTAACACATAAATACCAATTGTTACCATAAATTAAGTACTGAATAAACGAACTAAACGCTTCACGTAACATAAAAGGGGTTTGTTTTATTTAGAACCACGTTGAAGAGATTTATCACTAAGTTACAATTTATATTATTTTCACAAGATCAAAAAATAAAATTACATAAGTATACAAATTTAAAAATATATTTTGAGATTTTTTGAACATAAATTATTATTTTATATTACTAATTAATCTATTAAACCTATTAAAAACTGAATTTAGGCACTATTTTTTTAAGAAACCGTATTTACGTAGGTACCTTAAATTTTATATTTAAATAATTCTAATTTTATTTGTATTATTATCATTATCATGTGTACTTTTCTTTCAAAAACAATTATTGTGAAGATAATAAGACTATGAAATGTTAATCATAAATCAAACATGACTTTTATTTATTTAAATTTACACAATTATACTGTAAAGGTATATTTTAAATTTGAGTGTTATAGTTTTTAAATAAGTCGTAAAAATGTATTATCATATGAAATATTTAACATATTTTTGTTTTATACGATTTGAGAAAAATTAATAGTGAACCTGCTCAACCGTTGTTATAATAAAGATAAATAAGATTGAATAATTTAGCCTAATTTTAATAAATATAAGTATTTGAAACAGTGGCCTGCAGACAAGACACAAATGGGGCCTAGGCCCCACTTGAAAATGGGGTTGGTGTGAGTTTTAATAAATATTGTGTTTAAAAAAAATTGTGTTTTCATATAATTGTTTTTAATAAAACCTATATTATTTGCTACTTTTAGTTTTGGGTGGGTGGTGGGTGTAAAAAAATTAACTTTGCCCCACATGGAAGCACGCCACTGATTTGAAATAGCTAATGTCAAAAAAAAAAAAACAATTTAACTAAGAGTTTTTAGTCAGACTTATTATAAAGAACATCAAATAATAATATTATTATTTACTTGACTAACTTTTTATTCTTAAAAACATTTATTTATTTATTCCGATTTTTAATTTTAGTAAACTTACCTAGTTGTTTAAATACACGAAGAACAATAATTTTAAATTGAAACTAGAAATAATTTCATTTGGATATTTTAGAGTCCACGCATTTACAATATTATACAATATCACTTTAGATAACACATTTCAAAACTCTAATTTCAACAATATCCAATTCTTATACTGTATGCACTATGCAGTGATCGAGTTGGAAAAATAAAATAAACGAAACTCCCATACTTGAAAAAAAATAGAGTATCTTTCAATGGTTCAATTCGAGCTATACCCATGGGGGTCTTTGATCCCCCCCTCCCCTGCTAACCATCCATATTCAACAATCGATATTCAACAAGATACTGTTAAAGAAAATCGAATCGAAGCAGTATTACTGCCCCAAACAGTAATGAGTAATGACAGGATACAAAAATTAAAATTAAAAATTATAAAAAACACACATCATTGTAAAATCAATACATTTAGAATCTAAAATATGAAATGAAAAATTGCACTAATTAAAAATTATTTTATATTATATTTGTTTTCTATACCTACTTATTTTTTTGTACTTTTCTATAGCTGTGGTATAATGTTCAAGCTATTTAGGTATATAATTTGTCGAGTGTTTCTTTATACTTTTTTATCTTTTATTCGCACACCAGATAAGCTTGCATCATAATAATCATCTTGTCAGCTGTCTCTGGTTTAAATAATTTTGTTCCAGTTTCCTGTCAATATATTTGTATCATAAAATAAAAACCTTCATGGTTAGTCGTTTATTGATAATATTATTTCTCCAAGTATAACATAGTTCAAATACAGAAATTTAATTAGCGCATGAGATGAAAATTCTGTTAGATACCTACTTCCTCCCCTCCCGTCAACTCGTAGCTTACTAATGGAAAACAAGACCAACAAGGCACATGTGCATGTATTGTGTTCTAGCTCAAAGCAATTTTCAGAAAATAATAATACCTGGCTTCATTTTGTGCACGATTTGCCGTTCTAAACAAAGCCCACCTACAAGGTTAATATTCGTTGATAATTCAAAAGAATTTGATTAAATTAAAACATTTTTCTCCTAGTCTAATATTTCAAAATATTTCAAAATGAATATCACAAAACCGGTAGGTATAGTGACTATAAGACGTATCTAGTTTTAAAAGAATGGAAAACTAAATGTGTATTATTGCATTGAATATTATATGACAATTTTAAATTATTCGATTTTTGAAATGAACACAAAGATATTATTATAATATGTTTAGAAACCACCACAAGTTTTAACAAACTTTATCAAACCGAATTAAATTAAACGAGAAATTTATTAATTCAAAATTAAACTTAAAATACCAGTTATTTAAAAAGCACGCCGTGGATAGGAAGACTAATTGAGTTTGCATTGTTTATAACGCTATTATATACGAAGAATATTAATGTACTAAAGATACACGGTTGGTTTTAATTGGAATACATAATATTTTTAAATTCTAAATAATTATAAAAAAAAACCTTTACTGAAACGCATCTTTAAATTGTTATATAATTTATAATATATTATTAAACTCTGTTTTCGTACGAGGATAACACACATTTTTATTGAAATGTTTTAGACCAAAAAGGATAACTTGATTATGTCTAAAATAATACAGGTACCAAATTAATTAACCAAATAATTAGGGCAATCTTTATTTCTGCATTAAAACTAATTTAAATTGGAATATTTAAAAAATAAATTTCAAAGTTAGTTTAATGTACCTGCTGTGTAGTTCAATACTTCGATAAACCTATTTATGAACATTTAAAAGGAAAATTTAATAAATACTGTTCACTGTTGTTCGTTTGATAAACATTTTGCTGGTCAAAAAATATGTCGGTGTCAAATTATCAAAGAACAACACTTTGAGTTACGCATCAAGTTGCGTATAAAAAATATTCAGTTTTTTTTTTAAACTGAAATTGGAGTCAACGTATAATTCCAGGATTAAAAAATATATGTTTTTATTAATACCAACCCGAGATTAACAAATTATTTTTAATTACATTGTATTAGTGATTATGGTCGTTTTTTTTGTGAGAGAAGATACAAGAGACGATAGTGGTTAGTGGGTGATTATAATAATAATAATATGGTATTTCAAAACCATTCAAAATGAATTATTTCGCTTATGATTATTGAAGAGAGAACTTTGTATGAATAACTGAAAAATAATGACTTGTCTTCATCCACCATCGTGCATTGTTTGGAAATGCAGACAATTTTTAATCAAATCTGTGGCATAAAATAATATGCCATAAGTATATATATTTATAACTCGTCCCTAAAAGGATTTTAATCCTAAATTGGTAGTTGGGATCACGTTTCATAAAATACAACAACAACCAATAACATGTTTTATGATTATGCCTACAATAAATGATTAATTATTCTTTATCCATCCTAATATAATCTTATCCGAATAACATATTAATATAACGTACACAAAACACTTTCTTCCTCTAATTAAAAAGTTCCTAAACCAATTTCTAGACACCGTTCATATTTCAGACAGTGCAGGTATATGGAAATCGATACTTATAATTAAATACTAGTAATACCTACCTATATTTTGGGTTTTAAATTATTAATACCTCGCCCGACAAAAACCCGTTGAGTGAATGTGGGTACAAATAATATTATAAAATTCAAATACCGAAATTATGCTTATAGAATCATATGATTCTATTTATTATTGTTTGTAATAATTTTGCTTCGCACATTATGGCTTACCAAGACAGGTATCGTTGTTAAGACGAATTATTGTATGCAGAGGTTTAATTATTCTTCATAAAGCGTCTTGCCTCTTTCCCAATTTCTCCTTTTGAATTCCTTCGTATTGTAAATGCATACAAACGGAAAGATTCTTTAGAATGTGTGTACGGTTAACGAACGATTAATTTATGTGTTATTTTGTCGGGAAAATATTTTACCAGAGCAGCATAGAGTGAGTATGTATATCCGGTACCTACGTCTGAGGCATTTGCATTCTCCTTTATTGCCGATTAATGAATTTGTATGAATTGATAAATACTTGTATAGTTTGAATGGCTAAATTGAATTCATTATGTTTAGAATCAAAGTTTAATTAATTGGTAATTTAAATAATTTTAGTTATGGATAAAACAACACGAACGCCGTCCGATTAAATACATACCTAAGGTAATAAAAAAGAATAACTTTAAGGAATTTATGCATTGCTGAGATTTAATTAAACATTAAGGATATTTCAATGAGTAGTTCATTTTGAAGTGGTCAGCAGATCGAGACGAGTTCCTATAACGTCTGGTCTCGGTATTCTGTCTGGATTTTCATTATTTTTTCTTTGTTGTTGAACTCATTCAGTTGTGAGAAATTTTAATAATTCTTAATAATTGTATTATGCTTAGCATAGTTTAATATAATAATATTATAAATAATTTGTATTCTAATAACTGATATAACATTCAGACTAATATATTTTTACAATTTAAGAAAGATAATGTAAAAATAAACAAAGAAAAGCACTTTAATTTCGATAAATTTTATTAAATATTTAAAAAAAAAAGGTGGGCAAGTGGGTGTCGCTCTGCTGTACAGTAGGTAACAAGTGGGTCACTGTATAATGGATGATATTAAATTTGAATTCAACGATATAATATCATCGTATAAGAAAAACGATTCTGAGCCGAGACGGTATGTCAGTCTAGGTATAAGACATATTATATACATATCTATGATATTAAACAAAAAATTGCCCTATAATAGGTACCTATAATAAATTCCAAATT